TTTACTTCTTTTTTGGATCATTTCATTTAAGTGTACCACAGAACTTTAACTCTAGGTTCAAGTGTACCATGAGATGAAAAAGGTTGAGAAATACTGCTTTAAAAGGAAGGATTATCACAAGAAAATCCAGCAAGGAACCTTTAAAGGGTTACAAAGATTGTACTAAAACACAAAACACTCAATTAAGGGCAGCTGGCATTATTTTTATTACCAACGCCATCACTGCCACTCATACATTATTAATACAGCTCCTACAATCTCTGACAAAGTATTAAAATAAGGGAAGGAAGGATAGCAAATCTCCAAGTACTACAAGACTAACTTAAGGAAGAGAAACGAATGTCTTAAAGGAACAGAAAAAGTCAAATTAGTTAAATGTGCCTTTATATAGGACAGAGCTTTACTTCAGATACCATTAATACAACCACACATCATATAATACTCTGCCTCAACGACGAGGTCAATAGATACATCAGTCAACAGCTTCAAACAGAAGAACGCAATAACCCATTAAAATACTCAGTGTAGGCTCAGCGCCTGTGGCTCAAGTGGCTAAGGCGCCAGCCACATACACCTAAGGTGGCAGGTTCGAATCCAGCCCAGGCCTGGCAAACAATGATGGCTGCAACCAAAAAAAAATAGCCAGGCATTGTGGTGGGCGCCTGTGGTCTCAGCTACTTGGGAGGCTGAGGCAGGAGACTCGCTTGAGCCCAGGAGTTAGAGGTTGCTGTGAGCTGGGATGCCACAGCACTCTACCCAGGGGAATAGCTTGAGGCCTTGTCTCAAAAAAAAAAAAAAAAAAATTACTCAGTGTAGTTTAGGCATTCCTAAAAAAAATCTGAGTAAAATATTTTATCTCCATACCTTTTGTTTCTTTAATAACAATAGCATTTAGTAATCCTTTTCCTCTTACGGCAGTGACGATATCAGCAGGTAGCTTCATGAGTTCATTTCTCAAGACAGTACCCATTTTGTCTGCATTTTCTGCAAGATTTTCTTCTTCCAAAACCTATGTTCAAAGAAAAATTATAAAATATTAAGATCCTCCATGGAAGGGCAGCACCTGTGGCTCAAAGGAATAGTCTATAGCTATAACTTTGCTTACAGTCCACGTTGCCCTCTTCCATAGAGGATCTTTTTTTTTTTTTGGCGGGGGCTGGGTTTGAACCCACCGCCTGAGGTGAGATCCTCTATGGAAGAGGGCAACATGGACTGTAAGCAAAGGGAAAACAGAACTAGATAAAGACTAGAGTAACTTAACTTCATTTCGATTTTTCAAAGCCTATGTATAAGATAGAAGTCCCATAGCTGACCTCCTCCTTACATTAACCACAGGCTTAAGATGACCTAATTTTCACAGACCAGACATGCCCCTCATGTACGTATCAGCACAGTAGTCCACTGCCTTTATCTCAACCACCTCTATACATTGACCAATTTGAGGGTTTTTTTTTT